AATAAAAGAACACTATCCTAAAGTTTAATAGATTTCCCAAACGCAATCGCATTGCGAAGACTTTTTTCTGAAAGCGATGATAATTATTTCAATAGTGGAAAAAAATTAAACGAATTCTTTTCCTAGTTTACCAAAAAATTGTTTTTCGGCATCCATTATAATTTGAAAAGCTAGCAAACTTGACTTCAAACACAAAAAATAACATACAAGTTTTTTTTGGAGAAAATTTCCACAGGCTACTGTAATACCTTTTTACAAAACTTCTGGTTTCCTCCTGCGTCGGTTTTTGCTGAGTCTAACTTGCTAACGTTTCGCCAATCATCCTTTCGGCTTCATCCGAGGTCGACTGAAACGTTTAACTCAACAAAAACCGACGCCGGAGGAGTCCAGAAGTTTATATACGCCACTGACTTCTACGTAAAACGTTCGAAAAGAATTCGTCTTTATCTATTTGAAAAGTTGTCAGAGCTGAAATAGAAGGAGTGCCAACTACGAACAACCGAGACACCCTGCATTTGCTACCAAAATGATACAGCATTTTACATATTATAGCTTTGTTCCAACCGCAGTCAGAAACCAATTTGGAACTGTAAATTTCTGTCACTCAACTGATTTTTTGATATGGTCAATGTTTTTTGCCCAACAAAAATCATTTAAGTGACAGAAATTTACAGTTCCAACAGTTTCCGACTGTGGTTGGAACAAAGCCTACATATTTACATATTGTACGCTAGACTGAGCACCTGTTACTTAAAACAGGCAATTATTACCATTTCGATTTCTATAAGATCAAGAATCAATAAAAAAAAAAATAAATATATTATAACACTACTAAATCTTTAAGCCTATGCTGAACTTGGTGAAAAAATAATTTTAATTTTAAAATTATTTGAAATCTCCGACTTAACGAAAACTGAAAAATAATCGAATTCTAACATGTAGGGATAAACTCAATTACTTGATCTAGGGATACCAGGTTGAAAGAAATCGTTCTAAAATTCTACTGGACAATTCAACCTCAACTCTGATTGATCTTGTTTTCAAATTGAAACTTAAAAAACAAAATAATTTTTAATTTTCAGGTATCAAGGTTTTTGAAGTTAGGCATAAACTTATTAAATTTATTTGCAGTTGATTTTGGCAAAGGAATTCGTTTTTGTTCAAAAGACAAAAAAATTCGTCTCCAAATGATGACAGAAAAGATGCGAAGCAAGTTTTACTCCTAAAATAATGACCACCGAAAGATTTGAATACAGTGTGTTCATTAAAGTTTGCACTTGAAAATAAACTTATTAAATTTATTTATATTTAATATAGGCGGAGGAGGAATTCGTTTTTATTCAAAAAACAAAAAATTTCGTTTCCAAACGTTGAGAGAAAATATCCGAAGCAAGTTTTCCTCCTAAAATAATGACCACCAAAATATGATACACAATTTGAATACAGTGTGTTCAATAAAGTTCGCACTTGAAATACAACTATCTGATATGAAATTTGCTGAGCCATATAAAAGGTTTATCGAAGCATTTGTTGAAAAAAATCCACAATTTCAACTGAAAACTTGTGTTTTAGCATTTGAAATTTGAAAATTATATTTACAAAACCATGTCAGAAAATCGATGCAAATATAATCCAGGATCAAAGATGGTGGTTTGATTGGGACTTTAGCCAATTAGAGCCAGATCATTTTATTCACAATATTGTAGTGAATGTTGAGTTAGTATGTATTGTATAATAAAATATAATATTTATGACATTGGTTACAGAACCTAGAAATGAACCAAGCTAACGTATAATTTACAAAATTTCGATAATTAATTTATAACAGAAATTCGTAAACTGCTCAACGAATTTCTTATAGGATGGTTGTACTTAAAAATGCAAGACTTTTGATTAAGAACAACTCCTTTTTTCATAAAACCAAAAACAAATGTTTGCGCTATTGCGCACACTAAATGCCGCTCACCCGTTCTTGGCATTAAACTTGTATAAATGATTTATGCTCTAAAGGCCCATCCGATTTAATTTAATTACCACACCCTGTACTTGGAAACTGGTTTAATATAATTTTGACAAAACAACCATTTTTACTTTTACGCATTTGCAAAAACTGGTAAAAATGAAATCAATTTTAACTAGAAATAAACCCTTTGAAAATATTGATTTTAATAATGATTGTATCACACTGGAATACACTGCATATTGCAGACCCTAAAACAATATCTATTTGATGTTTTTGAAAAATTTTGCTTCAACACTTTAACTAACAGACAACTGCAGATAAATTAACATTTAGCCATTAATGGAATCAATGAAATGCGAATATTTTATTGTTTATTAATTCTAAAATAAAGATACAAGAAACCTTGTTGCACTCGACTCCCGTGGTCAATCAGCAAGCAGTTACCAAGGCGCAATTCTGGTCGGTGACTAAAAGTGGCATTCAGTAGAAAACAACACCAAGCAGTTGTTCAACGACGCAATGGCCCTGAAGTTCTCCAAGCATGGTTCATCAGCGCGAAGTATATATTTCAAATACCTTGTTTGAATCTTACGTCTGTGTTAAATTGACCAATTCATATCGCAATTCATAAAGCGTGGATTATTAAGCAACTATAAAAAACTAAATGTAATAGAGAAATTAAGAATTTAAAAAATTTCGTTTCATCAAATCTTAAGTTAATTTATGTTTAACTTTTAATTTGTTTAACTTTGTACTAACAACTGACTACGAATAAGTTTTGAAAGATCGACGGCGACGCTTCCTAATAACGGCCAAATTAAAATCATCTGGAAGGGACTAGAAAAACAAAAAATTTGGCCATTTTGAATTAACATTTAACACAATAGACTATAATAGCAGATTGGAAATATCAAAGCAAGGAGCACCAAGTAAGTAAACTATCTTGAAAAGTAAATAAACCCAATCAATATATAGAAAATTAAAAGCAATCTGATAATCCCAAAACGAAATCTGCTATTTTAGGCAACACTTTAACCACTAATTTGTAAGTCTCATTTTTAAGGACAAACTAAATACATAAATACTCTAAGATAAAAATTCCTCAAAAAATAAGAACACCATTTCAATAACATTAATATTTATTTTCTCAAAAATTAATTGGCGAATCGATGCTGGTGTTTCGGCGAATTGATGAATCCATTGTCCAGTTTGGAGAACAGCCATGTTCTAGATAATGTTGAGTCAACTTTCTTTACAAAAATATAACCAAAACAATTTATTTAAAGAATTTAAAAAAATTCTCAAAGGCATTTGTGTCACATAAGAACAGGAAACCAATGACACAAGGAAACATACATACATGCATGCATACATACATAAAAAAAACACTTCCAAAAATATAAACATAAAACTAAAGAATCAAATAGTAGATTAATGACTGCCGGCAATTGACTCTCCAAGCAATCACAAATGTTAGGTCCTTGAAATTTAAAGTGTACATTTTTAGAAGTGCTTTGAACTCATAAATATATACAATATACACTTTAAATGAAATACACCTTTTTGTGGCGCCACAACGAACGTTTAGTCACTTTAATTTATAAAAGTGAATGTTTAAAAATTCACATTAAATATCCAATGCTCAGACTTGTACACCCTATTTTATATAAACCCCCATAAAATTAATTTTCATATACCCACACACATATTTCACTGTACCAATGTAATACAGAGCAAATCCCAATTTTTAGGAACTGTTAAAACTTTTTTTCATACCCAAAACTGAGCCTGAAAAATATTTAACAATCCCTTGCTTTCCTAGCAAAATTGCAGTTGCACCTTTGCGTCCCCACCAGTTACCAGTACATCAGAAAATGCTCATGTACTTAAATCTCTGTATCAAATTTAGAAACTAACCACACATTAAATTCGAATTTTGTTAATGTTTTCAACTATGAAGTAAGTGAAAACGAAATTCGAAGCTATCTGATTAGCTTGTAAACTTGATTTTAATGCAAAGTAGCATCAACTTCCAAATTTTGAACCAGTTGTAAAACACTTCACTAAAAAAATCCGAGAAAAGCAAATGCTCACTCGGGACAGAAATTACTACAACTGTTTGTTAGTTTGTGACAAATGTCACAAACCACAAAAGTATAGTGTTGAGTGTCAACCCATTAACTATGTTTGTAAAAGTAATTACAAACAAAAAATAAAAATTCAAAATACAGTCAAATATACACACACATCTATCTAAACATTTGCAATAACAAAAATCTACATCTTCATGTAATTTTAGCTTACAGTTACCAAATTTAATATAAAGAAATTAAAAACTGAAACCTTCTTGAAGCAATAAAATTACATGAAGGTAAATACTCATGGAAAGTATTAATCGGAAATAAGAAAATGGATGAATTGACATTAGGAGAACTAAAAAATGCTTAAAGACAACACAATGGTTCTCTCCCATGACGCAAAATGCAAAGAAATAATAAATATTTCCAAATATATGCACAAACATTTGCTGTTCCAGAATTTGTTTGAATATAAAGTCAAAGTAAAAGTCAAAATATCAACTCTCGTAAAATGATTGTTAAAAATTTTGTGTTGGTCTGAGTTTGTGACCTACACACAGTGTTTTAGTTTTTATTGTATGTATTGCTCCATATTCTTCTGTGTTGCATGGTGCATAAAGCAAGCCAGAACCAACAGTTATATTAAAAAAGATATAACTTTCGACACAAGAAATACTTTTTAAAAAATAAATCACTGAAATACTAGATTATATAGCGAAAATTCAATATGGCTCATTCAATAAATTGTGCTTATAAATTTTATTCCTTCCCAATTAAAGTAATTTATCAAAAAAGTAATTTTAGAAAACTGGGCTGTTACAAAAGTATACATTTACAACATGACTAACCGAGGCGCGATATTTTTCTTGAATGCCGCAAAAAAACCGTCAAAACATGGGTGCTGTCTTTAAGCCGCGAACTTTCCATGAGTTAACAGTATTTTAAAAAATGTCACCTACCTTGTCCTTCACCTGCGCCATCTGTACTAGTTCCAGCCTGGGGTTCTTCACCTTCCATCATACTATAGTCCTCCGTGTCGTCAGCTGTATTGTCATCCAGAGTATCATCACCAAAATTATCCCCATCGTCATCTGGTATCGTTAAGGTTTGATTCTGGTCATAAGGTTCAACTTTAAACTGAACAGGTGGAGTCTCGGCACTACTAGAGTTTACTGGTTCAGTTTTGGTAACCACTGCAGATGGGGTGGGCTGAGAATCACTTAGCCTTTGTCTTTTTGGAGCAGGCGTGGAAGATACCACAGGTGTTGGTGGTTGTTTCTTAGGTCTAGGGACAGGTTTGTAGGTATCTTCCGGTGCAGGAGTAGATTTTTCGTGGACCGACTCATCATTATCCACAGAACCCTGGTAAGTAAAACATGTAAACTAAGCCATAGACATACAGGGTGTTTCCAAATAAATGTGAAAAATTTAAGAGGGTGGTTCCTTGTTTAAAACAAAAGGTCTTTGGTGGCTAAAATATCAACCTTTGGAGAGATATCATGCTACAAACATGGAGGAAAAATGTTTTCATTTTTTTTTCTTGAAACTGAATACAGATTTTTTTTTATATGAGGAAGGGATTGAATTTGACATCTATAATTCTTCTGAACTAAATTTAGGTAAAAACTTATGCAATGACAATTTTTTTATGTTGCATTTAAAAACTTATTTATCTCTCAATAAAAAAAAATAAATCAGAAGCATGGCATAATAAGATTAACAAAAAGTGTATTATACAAAAAAAGAAAACTAGTGGACTGCTGTCACATTCATAGGTTTCATATTATTGCTTTAATTGACATTGCTCAGTTAGTTTGAACATAAATTCAATCAGAAATTCATTAAATAATCATTTAATTATACAATAATAAGAGTTTTCTTACAATACTATAAAACTTGAATTTTTGTTTTGCCCTAGGTGTCTTGCTATTGTGATTAGTTTCAGAAATGTTTATTAATAAATTATTTTGTAACATAAATTTTTCCTTAAATTTTGTTAAGAATGATAGGGGTAGTCTAATTCAATGTACTCCACTAATTCAAAAAATAAAATAAAGAAATATGGAGAAAGTGTTTTTTTATTAATAGTAACAGGTCCCTAATATTTTATTATTATATTCTTGTTTCTAAAATAAAAAATAAAAACCATTTTTTTCTGTGACATTTGTAGCACCGATGGCTTTTAACACAAAGTTTATATAACTTTATTTTTACAAAGGAATAACCCCCTTCTATTTTTGAATATGTTTTGAAACATTCTCTTTAACAATACAACTTACATTTCCATCACCCGTCAATCCTTTGATTTGCAAGGCCTCAGCAGTCTTAATAAAAGTAGTTAAATTCTCCTGACTAACTTGTACTTCCCCTTGGTACATAAACTGAAGTAAATCACTAATTGCTACATAACTAACGTCTTTCATAAATACTATAGGATGCTGACACGGGTTCGATTTAAAAAGTTCTTTAAAATAAGGACTGCACACCGACAGCACCATTTTGTGAGCCTTGAGGCATTTGCCTTCCACGGCAAGCGTCACGTCCACGAGATCCTCGTTTTCAAGCAGTGAGTTCATGCCGGAACTCATATTCTTGTGAAAATTGTCCCAACATAACGAAAACTGCTCCGACGCCATGGCCGGTTCTGAAATATCGCAAAGAGGTGCATTGTCAACCGCATTCTTTCGTAAGATACGCGTCGCCATTATGGCCACCGGATGATCGGTGAGCCTCAACAATTAGTTTTCAAACAGACAAGAATAACTTACCTCGTATCGAAACTTCCACTTCTACTGTTGGGTTTTATTACATTACACCTTTAAAGAATGACAACGAAACCGTTTTCAACGTTTGGTGGCCAAAATTGGCAGCAAAATCCACCAAGAAACGGAATTCATCCACACCCGCTTAAAATGACGCCAAACGGACTAAAATGTTCGCAGGAGGGCGCTGCCGAACGGCGTCGGCTTCAACCGCGGATGGTTCAAAATTCCTAAGTTATATCCAAATGGAAAATCTAGAATATAATAATTTTAGAAATAATATTGGAGTTGAAAAGACGAAAGCTAATAAAAGACTATTCTCTGTTACTAACTCGTAAATATTTTGAGCTGACATAAACATTATGAAATAGTTTCGTTTGAACACATTCCATATTAATATTAAGTTGTAGGTACCTACTTCCGTATTAATGACCTTTTTCTAAACTAACCAAAACAATTCTCACTAATACTAACATTCACAACTATTCTGGATAGTCGCAACTGTTGGTTATTAGCAACAGAAACTTTTAAAAAAATTTATTAATTTTAGTACTATTTTTCGCCAAAGTTAGGTGCCCCAGAATCAATCATTACTTGCATCAACCGCCCTACCGACCTTGGCGAAACAAAAGTTCATCAGCAAGTTACTTAAAATCTTTATAAACGTTATCAAATTAATTTAGAAAATGTTTCCAACTGAATTTGGGTTATTGAACGGGATATACACGCATGCGTGTGTGATTTGACAATTCATAAACAGTAATGGCTCCTTTTTACACGAAGTTTGTTTTCCCGCTAAATAAACGAATGTATCGTGCGTATAACTCTAATGAAATTCAGGACTATGGATAATGATAATAAATTAGATCGGTTTTTAAAACTAGGAAAAGCGGGAGAAGGCACATATGGCGTTGTTTATAAAGCAAAAAACAAACTGACTGGCAAAAATGTGGCACTTAAAAAAATTAAGTTACAAAAGTAAGTTCCTTACTTAATATTCTCTTTTCTAGTCAGGCAGGTGTGATCAGACTAACATATTTATAAAGGTAGAGTGAGTTGAATTGTATGGTGTTGTGTAAGGTATTTGTCTCATAGCACCACATGATTCAGCTTATGCTGCCTTTGGCATTTCTTCACTAACAGTTAGTGTAAGTACTTTACCAGATTACTTTTCATTGCAACTCTCATATACACACTGTATACCAAAATCATGTTAAACAGCTGCAAATTTCGATAACTATTTCAGGTTTTACAAAGGGGGAACCTCTGAAGGAGTTCCCTCCACAGCAATGCGTGAAATAACTTTACTCAAAGGTGTAAGACATTCATCTATTGTGGAACTATTGGATGTGATGTATACTACAGACAAATTGTATTTAGTATTTGAGTATTTGGAACTTGATCTCAAAAGATATATGGATAGTACAAAAGCACCATTCGAGCAAGAGCTGATAAGAGTAAGTATGAAATAAATTCTTATGAGCATCCAATAAAAATATGTTATGCAGAGCTACATGAAGCAGCTTCTAGATGCAATGGCTTATCTACATTGTCATAGGATATTGCATAGAGATCTAAAACCACAGAACTTGCTTGTTGATAAAGAAGGTCACATTAAACTGGCCGACTTTGGGTTATCCAGAGCCTTTTCATTACCAACTAGAACATATACCCATGAAGTTATAACGGTGTGGTATAGAGCCCCAGAGCTATTGCTAGGAGAAAAAATGTATTGCACTGGAGTTGATGTTTGGAGTCTGGGATGTGTAATGGCAGAAATGGTAGTATGACCAAATAATAAACTTCCCACTGGGACAAATTATTTTTTTATATTTAGCTGATGAAAAGGGCACTGTTTCCAGGTGACTCAGAAATTGACCAACTCTACAAAATATTTAAAGTACTTGGAACTCCATCTGAAGATATCTGGGAAGGAGTCACCCTTCTTCCAGATTTTAAACCAACATTCCCAGTATGGCCACCAAGGCAATTGCAGGACATCATTAGGTTTCACTGTTTAGAAGAGGAAGAAATTTTAAAAGTTGTATAGTTATTTTTGCTAATTGAAAAAAATTATGACTTGTTTTTTAGCATATGTTAACTTATGATCCTGCAAAACGAAGAACAGCAAAGGAACTGCTCAAGTTAAATTATGTCAAATCAGCTAAACTCACAACTCCAGACCTTACTGTTTTTCGGGATGATACTGGAGAGACTGAGTCTGAAGCTATTAATAGTTAATTTTAATTTACATTTCTAAAAAATTTTAACAACTTAAATAAAGCAATATTTTATTTGACAATACCTAGATGTTTTATTATGAATTAAACATAAACTTGGGAGTATCTCTAAAATTCCGGCTGAATATTTTCATTAGCATATTACAAATATGTGGGTGACAGCAACATTTTTTTTTTAAATAATTTGCTCTCCATTACAAAAATTATTGCTTGGATGGTGCTGTGAATGTAAAAAAATTAAAAACTAAGATTTCAAAAAAAAAATAAAAATATAAGGATTAAAAATTTTCTTTTGAAATAATAGGGGAGAAGGAAATATTTTCATTACATCACACCCTCAATTTTTGTTGTGTAGTTTTTTACGTTTATATGGTATTTACAAAATATATTACACCATTATAAAGGGCCTGCTTCTTTGCTTCATTCTGGAGTTAGCTTCCATACCACTTTATCTGATATTCTCCTAAACTTAAGCTATTTAAAAAATAATGTTTAGGTTAGTTTTGTTTGGTAACTGGCCTTGTTGCAATATTATATCATTTGTTTTGATTGTTAAGTACAAAGAACACAAATCACAATGTCTTACAAATATTAGGTGAGTGAAATGGCACTAAGGGGATAGAGAACATAAAACAGACAAGAAGATAAACATTGTTTTTGGTTTGGGTTTTATTTAAAAATAAATGGACATATCAATAGATAGGTATCCAATATACCTAATTGCTGACAGATTCCAGTACTTGGAGCTCCATATATTAAATTCATTCCATCCATTACCCGAAGTGAAAGACTCCATTTTTCTATTTTCAACTTTTATTTTTCAAAAATCACTTCAAAATTGTATCCAACATTTTTGTTCAAAGTTATTCATTGGTAGTTTCTGATATTTGTTTCAACTTCCTTTGTAATGACATAACTAACTTCTTATAAAACTTTAATGTTTCCTGAGGTTGCCGACCATATTCATCAACCTTGATCAAATCCTGTTCTTGGAGCTTTTCTATGTGAACTTCAAGTTTTTCTATCTGAGCCTTTAAAACAATCAGCCTAACTGGCAATGATAAATTATCAAAATTTTCAAGAGTTAAAATCTTCTGTTTTTCATAATCTGTCAGTTTTCTTGGAAAATCATTGGACAATGAAATAAGACCAATTGTACAGCATCTATTGAGGTCTATAAACTGCCATAATGTCTCCTCACATAAGCCTATAATACTTGTCTTAAATAAAGGTGGCTGCAAAACTTTGCACTCAACACTTTTATATTCATAGATATCCTGATATGCAGAAACAGATACAACTTCTGAAATGGTTTTGGTTCTCATTGGTTGTCTGGCTAACATTTGAAGTTTCATGTACTCCCATTCCAAACTCTTGTGTTTTTCAGTTTTTTCTACTGGAGCTTTTTTAACTAACAAACTCTCGAATTCATGAGTATCCATATTGTCAACATGTTCTGTTACAATTTGTTCTTTTTCAGGAATTTTCTTTGTAACTCCATCATCCTCATTTTCAATGTCATTGTCTTGACTTTTTACTAATTGTTTTAAATCTAGGGAGCCTTGCTCAAATTGTTTTAAAAGTTCATTGTAATCCCAGTCTAAATTATAATTTATGTTGTGTTTATTGAAGGGAATGTCTGATTTTCGAGTTGAAATCCTTGCTTGTTTAAAATGTATCACTTTGCTTTGCGATATTACAAACTTGGCAGGCTTTTTTTCAAAAACTGATAATGCAGGTGATTCAAGCCCATCACATTTCTCAAAAAATAAGTTTGTGCCAATGCTGTAATCATATTTACCTGAAAATAAGTAAAAAACTAGAGTAACTGATTTATGGTCTGTATGAAGGCCTACCTTTAAAAACTAAATCGTTGACTTGTATGAGGGGATGCTCTTTATGTAGATTTGCAATGCGAAGAAATGTTTTTTCTTCAAGAGATTCACTTGGAAGTTTTCCATTAAAATCTAAGAAAATATAAGTACCATTCTCAGCATTCGCATTTTCTTCTAAATTTGTGGGGTCTGCCTTTTCGTCCATAGATAAACAATATATTGCCAGTTTTTTTATTTCTAAACAAATGAAAAATGTTCCCAAAATTTTAGGTTGTCTCTCTTCTTCTTAAATTCCGGTAGCAAAATTAAAAGGACAACGAGCCTATATTTTCTATTCTTGTGGTTACTATTACAAACTAACCAAAATCAACATCAATCGACAGTTGGAAAATATCTAAGTTACTAACTGTAATTTGATTCTTAATGGAACGGCCAGTGACGTAGCATTACTAAACAGTATACTAATCTTTAGTAGACTGAATCTCGCCTTATTGCCAAAATGTTATCTTGTTATTGTTATATTGTATATAATTCAAATAAAGAACTTTATTATTATTATTATTATTATTTGTCATGTAATCAATTTACTTTTTATACTACCTACATTAGAATAACCACTTCGTTTTTGTTTGTTAACCACGACCTCGAGCTGCTAGGGACACTTCCAGTACTTTAGTATATTGGAATATCTAGTCAAGGAGCTTGGCAAATTGCAAGCAGAATCGAAAGTTCGAAAATTAGAATGCAACAAAAATATCTTTTAATATGTTTATGACGTTATTGACTCAAATGGTTTAAAAGCTTTGTTTGTTCCAAGCAACCACCATATTTTAATTTTCCGCCATAGAATGAAAACAAACTCAAATAACCCAAAGCAAAACTAAACCTGCAAGTTGGTTGGAGAAAATGACTATAGTACCTTGTGACGTCACAGACGTTAAATTAGAATTGAAGTATAGTCTAATTAGCCACCTGACAAAAAAATTGTAACAAAAAAAGTAAATGATCAGCTGTAAAATATCAGTTTGAAAAGAAATTAAGCACTTTCGGATACTCCTATACATAATTTAAAAATATGTCCATTTGGTTTGCTGAAAATTTAAACTTAGTCGCTGTTTTTTATTTCTATGGTATATTTTAAATTTCGTTGACATTTTGAATTATTTGAAATTTAAAAAATACAACCAGCATGATAAATTTTACTAAACTCTGAAGAGATCAAAGATTTCTAATAAAATAAAATAAACGAATTCGATTGTGAACAAACTATTGTGTAGCAAAAGTTAATTTAGAGCTTTTATTATTAACTCCAGTACATACATACAATGCCCCAATCAAAAAACACAGAAACTAAAGATTTTATTGGTCCATAGGTTAAATCTCCAGTGCATCGATTGATTTAAATTTTTAATGTAGGGTTTAATACTTTTTTGTTCTACAAAAATAATTAAAAAACAATTTATAAAGTAAAATAAAAGGTTTTCTTTTGTCACTTTTTTGTAAATAAAATGAAAACTACTCTAGCCAGTTCTATGTAGTGTGATTTAGTTATAAAGTTAATTGTAATTAAAATAATTTAATCATTTAGTCTATATTTGTCAACGGAAACTTTAATAAAGAGAGCAGCGAAGATGGAATCAAATGGTTAATGCATTTGGTGGTCTTGTCATACGCAGCTAGCATCATCCTTAGTATATAAGAATTTATTGCTTTCCTAGAAGAATCCACTAGAGATGAAAACACGGACTTGTCCGCTAGACCAACCTCAATTGCACCGGTTGCTAAAAACATACCAATTACCCACATTTTTGCAGAGAAAAATATTTAACATATTAACTATTATCCACAGAATTCTGAAGTTCGGCTGTTGGTGGCACTGTAGTTTGCAACATCCTCAATAAAGCTGGTAATGTGAAATTTTCTTCTGCGTCTTCCTTGATAGTAACATTTATATTTTGCACTTCAAAACAACAACACAGACAAATTATATAAGTAAAGGAAAAAATATATGTGGGGAACAATCGTTTCACAAGCAATAAAACGAATTTAATATTATTCTTTATTTATTATCACATGCATACAACTTTACCTAAAAATACTATCACTCGATAATTTCGTAAAGCGACAATACCATTTGTTTTTGTTAATTTCCAAAAAGGTCGTTAGAACAACTTTTCGTTAGCTTGTTATTATAACTTGTAATGAGTTATACAGGGTGGTTACATTTTGCCACTGGACTACTTCAAAACTTAATAGCTACATCATCGGGTAAAGTAAAAATAAAACAGATATTCCAATCCGATCTTGTGACCGAAAAAAAAAGAAATAATCTCGTGGAAGATTAATTTATTTAACTTTTAAATAGTTACCTAACTCCATTATGTTACTTGTTGATTTTTAATTAATTTTATGATATACCAAGTAACACAAGAAAGTGACACTCCGCACAGATCAACAAAAATCGTTAGTTAAACTTTATGGCTATAGTAACACTAACTAACACTTACACTAATGTTTTGATAAGAGGTTGAGAACAATTGAAACAACAATAATATCAAAGAATTAATATCTTTAAGTCTATAGGGTGATTCATAAAGATTGGACAATCTCTAAACTGGAGATACTAGACACTAAAATATTATGATTGAGCTTTATAAAAATGTCGCTGGTTTAATTTAGGAGATACCGGGCGTTAAAAATTTAAAACTTATTCCGAAATTTGGCATTATTCGAGATGTTTTTATAGCATAATAATAAAAATTGGCAGTTAGTTATATGTCCCAAACTGCAGACGAAGCCCAAAGCTAAGCGAAGATAACGCATCGCTGACACCGCATCAAAAGCCCTATTTATTCGATTGTAATATTGTAAAATACGCTCTTAATTATTCCAACCTCTGTAACGGCCAGTTCGAATAAAACTTTATTTCGCTTTCCGTGTAATAAATGTTTTTAAAAACGCTCTCCCGAATTTTGAACATTTAAGTGGCGCAGTCGGAACGGATTTTCTAAGTGCAGTAGTGGTGGACAATTAACCAGAATCTTTTGGGAGTTTTTTGAAATCGCCAATCGAGGAAAGTTCGAAAACTTTTGGACACCCGCTACGTGGATTTTCAAATCCTTCAGCGCGCAGAACCAGCAGCGAGGGAAGCAGAACAACGGTCTACGAAGGTACAACCCGTATGTGACGAGTTGGAAAACTGAGCCGGAAAGGGGACGCAGAAATACGAAACCGTAAGTGCCATTTCCTTTTGCCCCTCCGATACCTCTGTAGAAAGGTCACTTGAAGGGATAGTTTAGGGCTCGCATTGCACGCGATTAGGTTAAGAAAACAAGAAAATAAAACAGAAAACAAATCAAATCAAATCGTAAACGAGCGATTCTGAAATCGAAAATCTCGAAAAACAATTCAATTCAATTTTAAAGTTAGGGAACAAAACACAAAAAAAGAGTCAAAACAATGACCCAACAAGGAAGCTCAGGTAGTATGAGTAGTGCGGAACCTAGATTTAATTGGAATCTTTTTAAATCTAAAGTAGGGAACATAAAACCTTATGACGGAAATAGCGACACGCTAAACAAATTTATTGGTAAGTGCGAAAGATTAATAAATTCCTACGTTAGTTTAGGAGATGCGGAACTAAATAGCCATATCTTCGATTGTATCATAGACAAACTAGTAGGGAAAGCAGAGTTAATGATAGGAAACCGATCAGAATTGACAGATTGGTTAAGCATAAAAGACGCGCTTATTCAATGCTTCGCGGATAGGAGAAATTTAGATTGTCTAATTCAGGAATTAACTAGAACAAGACCGTTCAAAAACGAACATTTAGTTGATTTCGGTGGTAGGCTACAACTTTTAAAAAGTAGTGTAATACAGCGGATTAGTAACTCAGAAAACTTAGATCAAAATGAAAAACTATTCCATGTAAATTATTACAACAAAATCGCGCTCAATACATAGCTGGATGCACCGGGACGCTCAAAAACAACATGCATTTGAAACAACCAGATTCTTTAGAGGAAGCCATTGCTTATGTTTCTGAATTTGAAAATTTTAAAAACCTCTACGGAAATCTAAGCAACACAACGAAACAATTCCAAATACCCAATTTTCAACAAAGTAATTCAAAACAATTCCAAATACCCAACTTCCAACAAAACAATGCAAAGCAATTCCAAATACTAAATTTTCAACAATTCAACACGAAACAATATTTTCAACCATTTCAATAATTCCAAAATCAGCCGAATCTAAATAGATTTCAGCCTAGAATAAATCCCAACACAAGTTTCATGCCAAACAATTTTAACAATTTTTCAAATCCAAGCCAATATCAAAATCATTTCCAAAAACCACAATTTCCATCTCAACCAATAAATATTCAACCGAGGCAAATACCCCAATACCCTTATATGGCACAAGCGGAGAAGAAGAGACAATTCACCGCAGAAACATGTTCCGTCATCGAAGAACTCTACTTTTGTAAAGAAGAAACTCATCCCCGAGATGTATGCGTGGAGAATTTATTTGACGACATAGGAATGGAAAACTGCCCAATTACGAAAATGAACCTGTCAGAGGCAATTATAGAAGAAATTACTCAAAATTTAGTTCTTGTTTTGCCACAGAAGCCTGAAAAATTACTAATTAAGTGTAACACGGATCGATATATGCAAATCGAAGTACCAGTACTGATTAAGATACCAGTAAACTGTCAAATAGAAATTAATGAAGAAAAATTCTTCAACGATGTGAAAATTCAGTTCGGAAAACCGATATTTTTACCAAAAATCCAATTGACAGAAATGAAAGCAATGGAAGGCCTGGATACCCCCAGTCTTTCAAAAATAAATATCGACGAGATATACCAGCTGAGAGACTTAGCAGAAAAAATAACTCCCATGGAACCAGTGGAAGAAGAAACGAAGACGTTCCAAATAATTGTTATTGTTTTTGGAATAATCATGGTTCTAATTTTAGCTTTCATCTTTAAGAAGCTCCTGTTCGGAAAGGCACCAGAATTGAAGAAAACCGCATCCATCCCTGCCAGGGAGAAAATCTTGAAGTTTTTTCGAAAAAACACTCCGTTATTTTCGAAACTGCAGACGAAGCCCAAAGCTAAGCGAAGATAACGCATCGCTGACACCGCATCAAAAGCCCTATTTATTCGATTGTAATATTGTAAAATACGCTCTTAATTATTCCAACCTTTGTAACGGCCAGTTCGAATAAAACTTTATTTCGCTTTCCGTGTAATAAATGTTTTTAAAAACGCTCTCCCGAATTTTGAACATTTAA